ATCTGTGCAATCCAAGACCACAAAAATATTTACAAAATATTTAAAATAAATCTTATAAATATTTATAAATATTTTGTAAATATTTTATATATTTGTGTGCTGTCTGTCATATATATACGTATGTATATAAAATATTTGGTATTTATTTAGTAATACATACATTTTTACGTTTACATATTATGCAATATATTTGCCTAATATGTGCAATATTTTTGATTCCTAATTTATGAATGTAGTATGGATTCGTACAACATCCGTTTTCTCTGTGGCTCTCTACTATTTTATCGACGTTGTCGATTTTATCGACAGTGTCAGAAAAATGGATGCAGCCACATAGTACCCGAAACAAAAATGAATATACTAGCGCTAATGTTCGTCGGTGTCACGGTGTCACGAAAAATGTGCCGAAATGGCCTTTTTCAGATTTCTCTTTGACATATATAAAATGTACACACACATTCACGGTCGTTACTGTACATGATAAAAAGAGACTGATAGGGTATAAATGATGTGCGTACAACAAAGATACCTACTTCAGTACTTGCAGAGTCAAACATTTTTGTCTTGAGATTGATTAACTGTGTTTTGAACGGTCAAGAAAGAAGAGAGAGAGAGGGTAGAGATTATAGAGAAATTCGATATTCGATTGAATGCACTCAGTGCGCACTGGTGCACATTAAAATCGTTATACACAAATTTGTGTTTAATATAAATATAAAAACGGATTAAATCATAAAATCTTCAATACATTTTAATGTGCTGTTAAGTAAAATTTGTATTTTATATAATTCGAAATATTTATATTGTGTATTATACTTTTACAGAAATTAAATCAGTATACAACGGCTTTAATATGCACTTGTGCGTCCAATAGAATTCGTTATAGAGAAAGATGCTTACGACGTGCACATACCACGTTATCCCTTCCATCGTGGTCCAATGTTATGATGTTATCACTTATCACGCCCGCTCTAGGATGCAGCAATGTGCATACGTGTGTTCAGATGACTTGAATTGTGACGTGAGACTAACGATTAGCTTTCGTGGTTAATACGCTTATCAATTGATAGATATAAATTTATTCGATTGCTTTATAATCGTGAGAAATTGGTATAGCCTGTTCTTGTGCGTACAGTTATAATTCGTTATTTATTTTGATTAAGCCGTTCGATTATATTCTCACAACGACGTAACTATCTCTTCGACTGAATGATACTATTGTGGTACTATGAAGTTGCACAATGGAGCTTTCCGAATCACGAAATCTTGTTAAAGATTTAGATTTAACCCTTCAACCGCGAATTGCTCCGCGGTATAAAACCTGGCTATCTCTCGCAACCCAACAGGTAAGATATAAATTAAAGTTTATACCAAGAAAAATATATTGCCTGAGCAAAAGTACTGGTATATATTGTTTTAACATTGTTTAAATTATATATTGTTAAAAATTTTCAGTTACGACTCAGAGGTTTAATACAAATAATAGGCCATAATCTTAAAGCTAATATAAATGGAGAGATATGTTGGTTTTATTATACATTACATAGATCAAGCATGTCATCTCCATTGTATACCAGCGAAGCAATTGACAATTCTAACCCAAAATGGTTGAGCCTGGAAGTACCGACTCTGTATGCTACAGGTTATTCACCGACTAGTGGTGAGCGTTACTGTCTACTATTTAGTACTATAAATGCTGTGTTTCTTAGGTATTAACATATATGTTGGTTCATTAAGTACATTCTTGACATTGACTTGTTTTGAATGCATTTTTATTAGACATTTAGAGAAATGATTCTATCTTTTAAACAGAGATTATCCTGAGGGTATGGAAGCGCTCAATGCCATACGACAACACAGTTGATGTAACCCTCTTCACATGGGGAATATCATTCACAGGATTGACATATATTGGTCCTAAGTTACCATCTAATCTAGAAACTATTTTAAAGGAAAATTCTTTGATATTCCATTTTCATGGCGGATACTTTACTCCTGCGTACTGCTTCATAGCAGCTCCAGACTTGAAGCGTTACCTTTATATGACTATAAATGTTTCTGAAGTAAAGAATAGTTATACCGTGAATAAGCTTAGCAGTTTAAGAAGCAAAATGCAGGCACTAAAGCAACAAACAGAATCGGTGCAAGCACTCAGAATACGCATTGCCTCTGGTGATGATTTTCATACTCCCAAATATCCACAGACAACTTTGAACAGACTGTTGCAACCACGGAGAGTTAACAGGGAAAAGAAGTTGGAAATTATGAGAATACGTAAAGAGCTAGAAATGGCTAAATTTAGAACAAAATTGCTAGAACAAGAAAGATCGCGAAAAATGGGAGAAATTCGTGTACTAAATCAATTACATACTAATATGACAGAAGAAAATCAAGATCTTGGTTAGTGTATATGGGTTCAACATATATTGAATATATATTGCATAAATACTCTAAATAAAAAGCACTATCTTGTTTTCTAGGTTCTGACTTAATGGAAAGATATAGAGAGCTGGGTAAAGACATAGAAAAACTAAATGAATGGCGGCAAAATCATATAGATACAAGAGAAACATACTTGCAATTGAGCAGTCAACTTGCACAGAGGCGACGACAATTAATCTCAGAACTGTGTTTAATATATCCTATTAAACAGGTATAGCTAAAAAAAAATATATATATATATATATATTTGCATGATTGTTTTGATTGGCTGACATTTTTCTCAATTTTGTAGGATAGCATTGGAAAGTTTAGAATAAATGACGTTTATTTACCAGACAGCGAAGAATTGGAATTATCGAATGATACACAAGTGGCTGTGGCATTGGGTTTTGTTGCACATACGACGCAAATGATTGCAAATTTTTTGAATGTACCGACCAGATATCCTATTGTACATTACGGCTCGCGCAGTAAAGTTACAGATCATATAACAGAAAATTTGCCTGATAATGACAGACAGTAAGGGTTATTTGTAATTGTAATTGTGTCTTTATTAATGTATCCATGCATATGTTATCGCTAACATGTTATTTTTAGATTTCCATTGTTTGCTCGAAGCAAGGATAAATTACAATTCCATTATGCTGTATATCTATTAAATAAAAATATAGCACAGCTACGATGGTATTGCGGCCTTCCGACCACTGATTTAAGAGCAACATTACCGAATCTCGCTACGCTAATCAACGTTAAACCCAATCAGATACAGTACGTATATATGCACATTCATTAATTTTTTTTTTCATTAATAATATACATATATTTATTTTTATCTTTACTCGAATTATTTCATAGTTTAGACGATTCAAAACGAGCATTTTCCACCTCGTCTTTGGACACTGAAAGTGGTAATGGTAAACAAAATCCACCTCTCACACCACCAATGCAAAAAATAATTTTCGAGAAATGCCATCGTTCTTCTCGATCAATGAGTCAATTAAAAAATATAAAGTCATCTCTTGGATCTTCTTTGGATCAAGGCTTAGACAAACCTGTACAATCACCTGCACTAGGTAATCAGTCGAAGCGAATTTGTAAATCGGAAGAGAGTGCCATTGACAATAAAACCTTGGTTCTGGCTAAAGATAGATTGAGTATTAGTAGTAATGAGACATTAAATAGTGCCATTCTGAATAATATTGATAACATTACTCTTAAACATGAAGAAAATTTTGTCGAAATTAGCGATAAGGTTGTTATAGAGAGCAACATTGAGATTATGATACCTACATCTGTTTCTAAAGCAAGGAATGTCGTAGATAGCTTGGAAAGTTCCGTGAGTGCCCGAGATAGAAGCTCTAATTCTATAAGCAGCTGCGAAATGGCTCTCAGTAGCCAAAATGATGTAGATGAGAGTTTAAATGATAACCATATTATTAGGAAAGAAAAAATCGATGACAATATGTTTTCGATTGATGATAATTTAAAAAACGTCAAAGATGTGATAGATAGTACGTTTAAAAATGGCGAATATAGTAAAAAACGTAATTCTAGAATTGATATTTCACAAAGTTACGACATGAATAATACAATCGTCAGCGAACAAAATAGCAGTGGTCATGGGCAAGACCTGCTTACAGAAACTGCCATCCACAATAGAGAATGTTTTGTTAAATCGTGCTCATCTTTGGATGCTGTGTGTACTTACGAAGAATCGGAACAGAAACAAAAAATATATTCCATTTGTAGCTATACAGAAGAATATACAAAGAAAAATACATTACAACAAAGATGTAGCCCTGAATCCAGGTACATATATACATAATTATATATTTATGTAAATAAACATTTTGTGAATGAATGTAATTTTTAATATTTTATATATATACACATACATGGTGACTTATTTTATAGAGAGAATAAATTAGATTATCTTCAACATGCTGAGAAATGGTCTCAGGATATTGCAAGAAATGAACCAATGGTAAATTTGTATGTTAATAACTTCCATACTTTTTTTTTTAATGTGATATTTTAAAATGTCCATTTTGTATCTAGGTGGATACGAGGTCTATTCTAAATGCATCAAGATCAGACTGCTGTTCATATGATGAAGCAAAAATGCAAAGT